GTTATCGCTGATGGGGAAGAGGCGAAGGGTTTGAAATAGATCATTAGAAATGTCAAACTCGGGTCCCTTTAGGCTCTAGAACTCTCAGATTTAGACGATCTTATTATGATACGATTATAGCCGGTTTGTATCGCGCCGTCCGCACACGCAAGCTCGTATATGTGATTTGGTTATGTGTGTGTGATATTCTTTGATCTACATTTGTGTTTCAATTATCGGTGGTTGATGATTGTCACCAAATCATCTAGCAACATATTCTCTCATTTTCTGTAAGGGATGTTAGACTACCGATAGGGAGGCCCAGCCACGTCGGGAAATATCATGACACAACTTTTGATGTTAATGGCGCTTTTGTTTCTCTTTCCAGGTTGTTGGCGCTGGCGGCCCTGTCCGGCTCGTGCCTGGCGGCGGTGGACATGGTGATGCTGTGGGGGGCGTCGGGGACGTCCAAGATCACGTCGTCCACCCTGGCGTGGGTCACGGGCACCGACAAGATCCCCGAGGAGGCCGTGGCCGTCGACCCGTCCAGCCCCGCCGGCCCCCACTGGTGTAGGGCGAGGCACCGCGCCCTGCAGGTCCCGGGGGTGCTGAGGGACGACGGCGTGTGCACCATCCCGTTCCTGAAGCGGATCTTCAAGCTGGACAAGTACGATGTCCTCGTCTCGATCAACGGCTCCGCCCGACTCCACCTGAAGCCGTGGGACAAGTACACCGCCAAGCCCGACAACGCCGTGCTGTCGCCGGACTTGATGCTGGCCTTCGACTCCTCGCCGCACGCCCCGCTCATGCCCGGGCACGTGGGACCCGACCTCAGGGACCGGCGCGCCTTCCTCCTGGACGGGGACAACATCCGCAGGGTGGAGAAGGCGTACATCCTGGTCGAGGAGGAGCCGGCCAGGTATTCGCTCAGCGACATCGTCCTGGACGCGTCGCACCAGACCATCAACGACAGTCGCGTCCACCTGAAGAAGGTCACGCTGGAGAACACGGGGGAGGAGCCCGTGAACGCGTCGCGCCTGGTCACCATCGACGTGCGGGAGAGGCAGTACTGGGGCCGCGTGAAGGGCACGGTCACGGCGCTGTCGTCCACCGTGACCTCCCCCGAGGACGCCCCCATCGCCATGCCCTCACCCAACGCGCCCGTCGACCTCCTGTGGGGCATCGACAATGAGCTGGGTCGCGTCGACACGCAGATGCTGGTCCACGAACTCCCTCCCGGCGTCGGCGTCGAAGTCGACTTGGAAGGCACGATGAGGCACTACGAGGCGCCCTACAGTGGCACTCTCAGCGCCTTCTACGCCGACGGGAGCAGCCACAAGCGAGGCATCGTCTCGCTGCACATCCACGATGCGCTGGTGGGCGTCACGGCCAACTACAGACGCTACTACTACATCCACAACGGCACCGACGTCGACCTCCCCGAATCCGCCGACCTTTTGTACGAACTGACCACCACGACCACCACCACCACCACCACGACCACCACCACCACAACAACCACTACCACGACCACCACCACCACCACCACGCCGCCCCCCACGACCACCACCCCGGAGCCGACCACAGAGGCCCCCACAGAGCCCCCGACCGAAGCCGTCATCCTCCAGGAGACGGCGTGGCACCCGGAGTCCAAGTCGCTCTCCAAGGACACCGACTCGGAGGCGCGCCGAACGCAGCCCGAAGCCGAAGCCGACGACAACAACCAGGCCGTGACAGCGAGGCCGGCGGACAGGGTGCTCTCGGCCGTCGCGTCGATCGTCACAACGCTCATCCTCAGATACTACTCCTCTTTCCCCGTCATGTGAGCGGCGGCGTTCGCGCGCCTCCGCCTTGTACATTTGTAGGTCTAAGGACAAAGGAAATCCACCTTAAACAAGAAACAAAAAAACAAACAAAAAAAACAAGTATATTATCCTGTATATTTTTCGATACAGTAATAATTTTATTAAGAGAGTTTATATATATATTATTTGTTATGTGAGAATATGTAGAATATTAATGACTTAAAAGAAATGTTAATATCTATATATATAATATCTGCTTGGAGTGAACCCTTCCCTACACCTTTGCTTCGAGCTTTATCGCGCTGCCCGAGAGAGACCAGGTGTCGAAGTGTCGCGTGATCAGGTGTCGAAGTGTCGCGTGATCAGGTGTCGAAGTGTCGCGTGATCAGGTGTCGAAGTGTCGCGTGATCAGGTGTTATAGTGTCAGTCGATCGCCCAGGTGTCACTCGACCCTTGAGGAGGACCGAGGATGCCACACAAACCCCCGAACGGATCCCGAGAGTGCCAGTCGACGGCGGAAGTCAAACGGCCTACTTGAGGAACGGCGTGAACTCCTGAGACGCGCGTTAGGCCTACCTGTTGCGAAAAGCGTCTTCCTGCCGTGATCGAGATCGTAGGGTAATCATCGGCCACGAAGATTATCGTAAACATTACTTCTTCAGATTTATGGGCTGAAGGTACCTGTTATGTTGGAAGAAGGGGATCGCGAGTGATTACTGCCCTTACACGTCTAGGGTCGGCAAGGTCCATATTGGCCCTTGGCGGCGCTCAGTAGAGACTGATCGTAGACTTTGATATTAAGAAGCCTTCTTGTGTGCGTCGATCTAGTTACTTCAAAGCTCGAAGGCATTCTGTTTGGGGTATTTTCTTCTTCCACCTTCTTTTACATCTTCTTTCTCCTCTCCTCGTCGTTGTCCTCCTACCTACCTCCTACTTCACTCTCCTCTTCCTCCGCCTCCTCCTCCTCAGTCACTCGGACTCTTACCTCCTCTTCCTCTTACCTCTCCTCCATCATTTTCTTCTCTTACTCGGAGTCTCCACCTCCCACTCCTTCTCCATCTTTCTCCTTCGTTTTTCAGTTCTTGAGTTTTGATCGTCTGCCCTTGCTCATCGTCTCTTATCTTACGGCTTCGTCACTCTTACAAATACATTAAGTTTTTGGAGTTATTACATATTGGCAGCCCTTCTCTGGCAGTTCTTTTCGTTTAATCCATTAAATATTGTATTTATATGATATATATAATAGTATATATATAATAAGTACTATATATCGGTTATGATGATATAATATATATATTATATATATATTAATGTATATTGTGGTAGTGTTGTTATAAATTTATTTATATTTGTATTTATTTTAATTACTATAAGTTTATATATATTATATAATTATTATATATTATTATATATGATTATAATTATATATATGTACTATATATATATATATATATATATTATATATGTACTTGAATATGTATTAATATAATATATATATATTATAATTTTATATATATTTATATATATATATATATATATGTATATATGATATTATATATATATTTTATAAATATGTATATTGTTTGTGTATGTTCATACTATGATATATATATCCTTATATATATATAGCCTTACATGATAATATATATATATCACTATATATATAATTAATTTTATAAGTATCTCATTATATGTTATATATATATTGTTTGCTTGCGACATTTATTCTGTTTAATATTTTTCTTACATTTTTTCTTTTTTTTAAGGCTGTTATTTAGCCCACTGCGAATGGATGTATGCTGTTCTCTCTCTCGTCTCTCTCTCTCTCTCTCTCTCTCTCTCTCTCTCTCTCTCTCTCTCTCTCCTCTCTCTCTCTCTCTCTCTCTCTCTCTCTCTCTCTCTTCTCTCATCCCACCCCTCTCGCACCCCCCTTTCTCTTCTTTATCCCTATTCCCTCATTCCTTCTCCATCCCTTCTTCGCCCTCTCGCCCCCTCCCATTCTCCCCCCCTCCCCCCCCCCCTCACCCCTCCACGCACACAAACGCACGCGCCCCTTCCCCTCTCACCCCCCCCATCCCCTCCCCTCTCCCTCCCCCTCTCCCCTCTCCCTTTTACCTTCCCCCTCCCCCTCCCCTCTCCCCCCCTCCTCACCGCACGCAAACAAACCCGCTCGTATATATTGGGGTCTAAGGTGGGTCTAAGTTGCGAGTTAATTTCACGGGCCCTAAGTTGTCGCGTGCTGTTGATCGCTGAAATAGATTGAGTTCGACGCGACTGTGGGCGGATTGGGCGTCAGTATGTTAATTAGAGGAATTGTAGGAAGGGCTGAGTCTCCTGATACAATGATTAGTTGATTAAGTGTCCTAGGATAAGATGTTTTTTTTTTTTTGTTGTTGATGGCGATTGGATGGAGTGTAAATATGCGGTATGTATAGTTGGCGTATTCTTCAGATGTTGGGGCGTAAGATACGCATACGCGCGCACACACGCATACACACAGACACAAACACACACACACGCATACACACACATACACACTCTCTCTACTCTCTCTCTCTCTCTCTCTCTCGTCTCTCTCTCTCTCTCTCTCTCTCTCTCATAGTCTCTCTTCTCTCTCTCTCTCTCTCTCTCTCTCTCTCTCTCTCTCTCTCTCTCTCTCTCTCTCTCTCTCTCTCTTCTCTCTCTCTCTCTCTCTCTCTCTCTCTCTCCCTCCCTCCTCCCTCCTCCCTCCTCCCTCCTCCCTCTTCCTCTCTCCCTCCCTTCTCCCTCCCTCTCTCTCTCCTCTCCTCTCTTCTCCTCCTCTCTTCCTCTCCTCTCCTCCCTCCCCTCCTCCCCTCCTCCCTCCTCCCTCTCACTCACTCACACTCAAACAAAGATTTAGATGTATATATATTTTTTGTTGTTTAGCTCTCGATACCCTTACACTCGCTCGCTTCTAGCCAGTGACCGATTTTGATACTTGTCGTCGAGGTGACCGAAGCGACTGACCTCTCTGTGCGGTGTTTTAGGACCCAGGATGCTGAACGTGAGTGATTATTTTTAACAGGAGCTGCTGGTAGATAGGATGTAGGGGACGGGAGGAGGGGAACGAGGGGAGAAGGGGAGGGGAAGGAGAGGAGAAGGGGGGGGAAGAAGGGGGAGGAGGGGAAGGAGGGAGGGAAGGAGGGGAAGGAAAGGAGAAGGGGGGAAGGGGGAGAAGGGGAGAAGGGAGAAGGAGGGAGGGGGGAGGAGAAAGGGGAGGGAGGAAGGGAGGGACGGAAGGAGAGGGGAGGGAAGGAAAGGAGAAAGGAAGAAGAAGGGAAGGGGGAGGGGAGAAGGAGGGGAAGGAGGGAGGGAACAAGGGGAGGGAAGGAAGGAGGAGGGGAGAGAAGGGAGGGTACAAGGGAAAGGAGAGAGGGGACGAAGGGAGGGAAAGGGAAGAGGAGGGTAGAAAGAGAAGGGAGAGTGATTGATGGGTCAGAGAGGGGCAGCAGGTACACCATCCCGAAGGAGGGAAGGGAAGCCCGAAGGGGGAAGGGGAACCGACAGGGAAGCCACGGATGCCGGCTGAAGGGTATTCTGCTTTGTTTACCCTCCCCCCTCACCTCCCCTCCCCTTCAGATGTTTAAGCCGTCGGTACGAGGATCTAATGACCCCCCCCCCTAAACACACACAAACAAAAAAAAACAAGGGTCGTACTATATATATATATATATATATATATATATATATATATATATATATATATATATATATTATATATATATATATATGCTTTCATCGCGTGTGTTTTGTTTGCGTGAGCCTTGAGGCGGGGCGAAGAGATAAGGGCAATTCTTTTTTGGTTTGTTTGTTTCTCTCTGTAATATTTGTGCGAATGGGCTTTTAGTTGGGTGAAAAATGGGTAGCGTGGATTTGCCTGAACGAGTAGCGAGGGGGAAGAGGCGTATCTGGTTTAAGTGCCATACTGTATCGCCCAAACTGCAGCCGGAGTTTCAGGTCGTAAAATAGGAGTGAGGTTCCAGCTGCGGTGCCAGCGGCGGTGCCAGCGGCGGATCCAACAGGTTGTACTTCATGTATAGGGGGTTGTTATCGTAAGGGTATGTTGATACAGCCAGTCAGCATGGGGAACTCTGGCTTCTGATGAAAATCCCTTTGGAATTGCTTTATATATATATACTTTTTTTTTTTTTTTTTTTTTTTTTTTTTTTTTTTTTTTTTTTTTTTTTTTTTTATGTCCTCTCTCTCAAATTGTAATGTTTACTTACGTTAAGTAACGTGGGCTAAGAAAAAAAGTGTTATGCGGTTGATTTTGAATTAACAGAAATTTACACTTAAGTTGTTTTAAGCTATGTTAAAATTGTGAAGAGAATGTTCTCTTATATTTTGTTATTATAGTTACAAATTAGGATTTATGATTATATAAATTAGGTCTTGTGTAAAGGTAAATTGCTCAACAACCAAAGAGGCTGTAGACGTTAAAGAAAGGTTGTTGATAATATAGCATGTAGTTAAAAATTAGCAGTTGTTATCATATATGTGGCTCTTTAACATTTCTCTGTTTATTGTGACTCGATTCGTGAAGAGGAAATACTCTGACAAGTAAACATAACAACATCCTTGAAATTTTGTATATTAATTCACAGTAAAAAAAAAAAAAAATAATAATAATGATAAATAAAACAAAAAACACAGCTTTCTCCTGTAGCCGAATTTTCGAAATGAACCCCATACCTTTTCCTCAATCAAGTCCCATAGAAAAACAACACAGAAACCGGAAGAGAAGACCACTCAATAACGACTCCTTTTAACAATAATATTCACTGAACTACGTCGTTACAACAGCACCGCCTTGTTTCATAACGACGTTGTTGTCCTAGTGCGATGTATATAGACTGATCATACACAGTGTATGAATGATTGAGCGGCCTAGTCAGACTGTGATATGATAGGATGATGTTATTTGTAACTCTCGTAAAAAGCGTAACTAGTGTGTACATACTTGTGTTTACTATAGCTGCGTGTATGTATGTTTGCATATTGGGTATGTATATGTATGTTTATATATGTCTTATCATATATGTATGTAAAATATATGTTATGTATACATATTATATATATATATATATATATATATATATATATATATGTATATATATATATGTGTTTTTATATATATGTATATATACATATATATACTTAAGTATATGTATGTATATATATATGTATATATGTATGTATATGTATATATATATATACACATGTGTATATATGTATGTGTATATATATGTATATATGTATGTATGTATATACACACATGTGTATATATGTATGTGTATATATATGTATGTATCTGAAATTGGACAGTATGATTTTCTTTTGCTTTATTGTGAACCGATGTTGTGGCCAGGTGTATCTGCTAACAGCTAAAATGTAATCAAGTTGTGGAAGAATCACTTTGTAATTTACAAAGTGAATTAAAAGTCTTTACAAAAGTCATTAGTGGTTTCGCAACTGGATGTTTTTGTGTAAATACACTTGGTCTGTAAACTTTCCTTCATATCACCTGAGAAATATTATTTACAGAACAGAAATGTAAAATCTAATTGTAGCATTTAGAGACGACTGTTGTGTTACTTGTTGTCCGATGCCTTGTTTCCTCTGCAGTCAGTTAAGGTGTAATAAAGGCAGTTTACGAGTAAATGAAATTTCTTTGTCCTCTATCCTTGGAAGAGAA